GGCCCCACGACCCGACCCAAAAGAAAAAAAAAAAAAAGAACACTCGCAGAGACCAAAGAGGGCTTGCTAATTCTTATGACATAACAGTCTCCAGCATTCCTGTCCATTCATTTTATCTGCACAAATATCTGTTTATCACAGACAAGTGTCAACATATGTTCCTGGTGCTCAAGCCATATCTACCTATCCTTCTGAGCTACTTGGCAAAGCTGTGGCTTTCTCTTGGCGTGAGCCACAACTTCACTGCTGTGTCTGATGCCAGGAGAGGGTTAGCTGAGAGCAGAGTCTCAAAGAAAGGGATCAAGCCTGATGCTCACAGCTGCACTTCCTGCCAGAGCCTGTGGGTTGGGGCTGAAGTCAACAGGTAAGAAGTCGTCTCGTTTTCCCCTTCATGTTGTCGAACTACAAGTAAGAAGCAATCAGAGGCAGAGATGTGGAAGGGCTGAGACTGGCATGGAGAATCCGTGTATCTGGCTTCTTTCAGGTCCAGAATCCCATTCAGTCAGAAGGATGACCCTTTGCTCTGGTCCCTGGGGAACAATTAAGAAAGGAGTGAGGTCAGCACAGGAAGTAAGGGGTGAGGAGCCAATTGTGCCCTCTGAGAGTTGGAGAGCAGCCAGGGTATTTGGTAGAGGCTGCCTTTTCTGCAAAGGAAGGCATGGAGGCCACAGGGAAAAACCTCCCAGACTTCCACCTACAGAGAGTTATTGACTGACCGCTCACCTGGGGGGCTGCCTTTCTCAGCACTGCTTCCTCATGGTCTCACTTAACCATTTCTTAGACTCTACCACAGTCACATAGTCAGTCTCCTTTCCCCAATCTTACTTTCTGATTAGGCTTCTCCTGTCAGCAAAGCCACCTCTTCCCCCTTGCCCCCTGCAATGTGTTTTCACGGTGAAAGCCTTGAGTAATTATGTCCAGTCTGTGTACTGCCTAGAGCACCCAGCTCCACAGAGAGGCTTTTAGGCCTCTTGAATGACCAGTGCTTGTGGATTGGTGGCAGGGCCAGACAGGAGCCTTTTCAGGTACTTCTAGGATATAGTTGACAGAAAAGAGCTGTTGACCAGACTGAAAGTGCACAGCTTTCCAAACTGGTTTGTGGGCTTTTGCTTCAGGAAAGAGCTGTGGTTACCTGTGGATGGAGGTGCAGCCAGGGTCATGCTGCCACTTCGTGACTATGGCAGGAAGAGAAGGAGTGGAGACTTCCATCAGAGCCCTGGTTCTGAAGCTAGATTTGACTCTAAGTTTCTCTCTCTCTCTCTCTCTCGTTCATCTGTTTCTTCATTTTGTAATCCAAGCCTACCTCAGAATTAAATAAAATAGTGCTGTTTAACTTGTCTACCTTCTAGGTAGTAAGTAAACCATACAATGCTTTATTTCTGTCTCTTCGATCATTCCCCATTCTTCAAAGCCTGTCTCAATGCCAGTTCCTTCCAAATTCCCTTTCTAACCTTCCTGGCCAAACCGACCTCCTTTGTTAGCTGCTCTCTCACTGGCAGCTCAGAGTGAATTATTCTCCACAAAGGATCTTGATGTTTGGGAATTCAAGCATGAGAAACAGAGATGCCACATTTTGAGAGATCAGATTGGGAGTCTTCATTAGAAAGTTGGCTATTGCAGATGAATTCCTGTAGCAAAGACCTGCATTCCCTCAACTACACTTAACACTGTTAGAACACTGAACCATGAGAGTAGTAAAGCACAGAAAGAGCTGAAAAATGATACCAACAGGGCGGAGAAGGTGGCTCAGTGGTAGAGTGCTTGCCTTGCATGCATGAGGCCCTGGGTTCAATTCCTCAGCACTACATAAGCAGAAAAAGCTGGAAGTGGTGCTGTGATTCAAATGGTAGAGCGCTAGCCTTGAGCTGAAGAGCTGAGGAACAGAGCCCAGCCCAGAGTTCAGGCCCCACGACTGACAAAAAAAAAAAAAAGAAACCAACAAACCAGATCAACTTCAATAGAGAGAAGACATGGCTGCCATGGTAACCAGAGATGAGACAGGAGGCATTACCTTTGACACCTGTGCTGGTCCTGGCCTAAATAGGATCAGGGTCAGTGATCAGGGTCACAGGAAACTCGAGAGTCTCCGGTTCAAGGCACGGAACTGGCAAGTCTAGTAACCATTGTCCAAGTCACCACCTCTGCTCCTTGGAATTCAGGCATCCCATCACCTGGAGGTGACAGTTCACCTTCCACCACTGTGAAAACAAGATGGTGTCAGTTAAACCCAATTCCCTATCATCCTCCCCGTGGACAAAATGGCACCAGTTAGACTCATTATCCTTATTTGATCTGTAGGAGGATAGCAAGTGACCAGAAATGTGCTTCCTGAAGCAATGGGACAAATTGACTAAATAGGCTAGCAGACATCCCAGTAAAGGAAATTTTGGTTTCTAATAGACCACAGGGCTGTCAGGAAGTTTGGTTTATGGTTTTTATTTTGGTCTGGTTGTGTGTGCCAGCCAGTTTGTGCCAGGCTTGAACTCAAGGCCTAGACACTGTCCTTTAGCTTTTTTTGCTCAAGGATAATGCTCTGCTACTTGAGCCATAGCTCTGCTTCCAGGTTTTTTTTGGAGGGGTAGGAATTTATTGGGGATGAGAGTCTCATGGATTTTTCCTCCTCTGGCTGGCTTGGAACCTTGATCCTCAGATCTCAGTCTTCTGAGTAACTAAGATGACAGGTGTGAGCCACCAGCACCTGGCACTCTTTAGAGATGTTTTCATTCAAAGTCTAGCTTCCAAGTCTCTCCAGCTGACAGGCATTGCTCCATTCTTCTGCTGTCAGCTGGAGGGAATGGAACAGTGTGAACACAGCCAGGTCTGTTACCATGTCCCTCAGAGACTGCAAGGGTTACCAAAATAAACTGCCATGTATTTCAGGCAGAAATGAGTTTATGGGGAAAGCCAAACCACGGGGCCTCACTCTATCATAGGGTGTAGTGCAAACTAATGGGGAAGAAAGATTATACAGGGAAAGGAGGTGTGGTCGCAGCCCATGTGGAAGTCACCTCAGAGCCTGCAATCCTTTTGCCAACTCACAGTCAGGTGATAGACAGTTAACAAGTGACACTGGTTTTGGGCAGGTGATTTCTGTCAAGGCTACCTGCTGCCCTTGACCAAGAGGAAGGGTTGGGGAAGGGGCTGTCATCCCAGGCTGGCCTGACAGAGACAATATCAATACAGTCTTGACTGAAGATATCGACCGTGCCAGAAACTGGACAAGTTAGTGGCATAGGAATAGATGCTGTGAGATGATTAAGTTCAGTCTGTGCTTCAGGGAACATAGCTTAGAAGGCCTCTGTATTCTTTGTATTATCTAAACCTTTCTTTCGTATTACCAGGACAGGTATGTGTTGTAAGAAGTGTGAGGTAAGTGAGAGCAAACAATACACGCTCAAGGCTTTATTGGGGGATAGACCTGCCGGACTTCTCCAAGCAGGAATAGAGGCAGCAGCCATGGACAGGTGTAGGCTGAATTTAAACAGAATTTTAGGGGGCAGTCACTTGGGTCACATTACATAGGCTATGGGCATTTGGGGGTACAGTCAGTTCTGAGAAGAGATGTATAAAGTTGTTACATGAACTACAGGAATTGGGGGGGAGAGTCACATTGTGAGAAAGAGTGTAAGGAGACTATTGCAACTAGGGTGGGAATTTATATGTTACACCAGGAAAACAATACAACATCGGGCAAATAGAAACTTAACAGATTTTTGTAAACAGGTAGGGACACAAGGCAGGGCCTTAATCAGCAAGCTGGCTCTGAGAACTTAGATTCCTTTCTTTTTTATGTGTATATATATATATATATATTTTTTTTTTTTGGTCGGTCGTGGGGCTTGAACTCTGGCCTGGGCACTGTCCCTCAGCTCTTCAGCTCAAGGCAAGCACTCTAGCACTTGAGCCACAGCGCCACTTCCTGTATATTTTTAAAGGTGGAAGGCAGAGGGTAGAGACATTCTAGCTACTTCCTGCGGGCTGTGTGCATCAGTTTTAGGGGTAGAGGTGGAAAGTTCACCTGGTCCAGAAGAAGGCACTAGTAAGCATTCCTTGGTGATAAACATGCATATGCATGCTTGGATGAAGTCTGAAAGAAATTTCATGAGGCAGGGGCCAAACAATAAGAAAAGAAAAACTATTATTAGAAGACCTACAGCCAACAGAAGGGAAGGCAGCCATCTACTCTGGGTGGATCTCCTGTGTTCCAGGAGATCCTGCATCGGGTGGGTTATATCCTTAACTACTCTTGACTGATTAACATCTGCTAGCTGGCTGGATAGGGGAGAGCATTGTGAACTGGTTAAGAATAACCAGTCAGAAGCTGGGGCTGGATTGGAATGGTTAATGGCCCAGTGGGAGGCCTAATATGGATGGAAGACCCACTACAAATAGAAATATCAGGTAATAGATGTAAGTTCTTACCCGGTTAAAAGATAAACCAGTATGGGCATTAGATAAGCCTGTTCCCAGCCATCAGAGTGAGGTGAGAGAGGGAAGCTTCATTCCTCACTCAATAGGAGACAGCTCAAGAGGAAAGGCTGAAGGAGCCCCAAGAGATCACTGTTACCCACGATGGAGTCCTGTAGCCTGTATCTTGTTCTTTAATCATCTTTTCCCTGAGACCTCTGGACATTTCTCCTAGGTACAATCTGAATACCATCGCTTCTTTCAGTCCATCTGCATATCTCCCTCCTTTCTTTCCCCTCCACAAACCCCTGGTTCCCAGCTCCCTCACAGCCCTTTCTTTCTGTCCCTAAGGATTTGTGAGGAGACTAAAGAGAAAGAGTGAGAGATAGAGACAGAGATAGAGAGAGAGAGACAGAGAGAGAATATCTACCCTGGCAGGATTGATGATCATCCCACCCCCCTCCACCTCAGTTTGTTCCCTCCCCCAGTCTGTTTCAGATTCCCCACCCAGACACAGTGAGAGCAGCTGGAGCATCTGCTTTCAGACTTCCAATCCTTGCCCTCTGCTGGCTGTTCTGATTTTCCTGTGACCGTGGGCACCTACAGTGCCAGGTCCTCTCCTCCTTCCCCATGAAGTCCATGGGAGGTCCTGAGGGGCAGGAGCTGCACAAGCTGGATAAAGGAGCCTGGGACAACCCCGCCTACAGTAGTTCCCCTTCACCTCATGGGACACCAAGGATCTACACTGTCTCCAGTGTGGCATCCCCCTCCAACGAGCCCCTACCCAAGAAGCCTGAAGATGGAGTCCAGGAGAAGACACACAGCACCCTTGGGTCCAGCTGCTGCCTCCACATCTGTCATTGCATCAGAGGTACCAGCCTGGGGAGGGGGCTTCCTGGGATATTGGAGTCAGGGGCAAGGAGCACTAGAGCTCTGAAGGACAAAGATCATCTGAGGAAGAGGTGTAATTATGGTGTCTCTGAGATGGCCAGAGTTAGAGAAGACATTCTTGTGCTCTGCCGGAGGGGTCAATTGCAGGGTCACCTGTTATCGACACAGAAAGTTGGGTAGGAGTAAGTCTGAGAGAGGGCACAAGTAGATGAGACTCTAGAACGTCCCCTGGAACAGGTGCCTGTCTTTCATGGCTTCGCTTGCTGTGACCCAGTGCCTCACCCTGTCCCCTCAGGGAATTTAGGGGAGGAAGAAGGCATGGATCTGGATAGAGTAGGCAGATGCCACTATGGGACCAGGGGATGGGAAAGGAAGGGCTGGGTGAAGATGGTACAAAAAACAGGGGCAGGTGGGAATGGATAACTGGGCAGGATGTGTTGTCAGAGACTCTGAGCCCCTGTCTAATTACCTTAGGACTCTGGGGAACAACCCTGACTGAGAACACAGCTGAGAACAGGGAACTTTATGTGAAGACCACCCTGCGAGAGCTTCTGGTATACATAGTGTTCCTGGTAGACATCTGTCTGTGTGAGTAGCCTCCGTCTCTCGGCTGTCTGTCTGTGAGAACCATGAATGTGTGTGACATATGTGTATACACCTGTCTTCAGTCAACACCTGTCGGGCAGCATCTATCTGTGGGAGGTGTGTGTCCTGGAAACTCTCTATATATATATCCATCTCAACTCCCTTTTTAGCTTAGGATAATGTCACAGAATTTGGTGGAAGAAGGCAGATCATTAGGCAGACTGTTAAGGGAAGTATGTAGAATTATTAGGAAACACAGTTTTTAAGTTCAAGTTCCTAATTTTGAGTCAGTGGCCATGGTTTTCTGTTGGCAGGTGGAAGTTTTTACCCTATCTTAAGAATGGGGGTCACCGCTGTCTGTGTGGTAGGTTTGCTGTGTGTGCTTACTGCACAATATCTCTCATCCATGAGCCTTTAGAGGCAGGAAGAGAATGATTCCATTTGCAGGTTCATAAGAAGAGGGTTAGGAGGTATGGTGGTATCCTGTGATGGAGCTCAACCCACAAACATCAGAGGAGTACCTGTGAGACCATTGCTGTATCCCCACACTGGGAAGAGTTGGTCTCTGAGCTTGATAAGAGAAGGAAGTAGAAATATGGAAGAGCAGGCTATGGAAGGAGAGTCAAGGAACTGCAGAAAATAGTTGGACACAGGTGTCTGAGTGAGGGTGAAAATTTTTTCCTTAAAAATTTACAGTGGTGGGGGGAGGGGGGAGTCTGGGAAGGGATGGGAAGGGTAAACAAAGGAGGAGGCTGCAATGCTTGGTAAGAAATGTACGCATTATCCTGCCCATGCAATTGTAACCCCTCTGTACAGTTGTTCACAAATAAAATAAAATAAAATTTAAAAAAAAAAAAGAAAAACAAAAAAAAAATTTACAGTGGTGAAATTATGAAAAACCTAGTTTACTCTACAATGGATGAATGGATCAAGAAAATATGGCATGTATATATATATGTGTGTGTGTGTCTATATATCACATTGTATATATTATATAGTATATATTATATAATATATTGTACATATATATTCGTATATATTATATATTGTATATTTTTATATCAACTTTTTTCTTTTACTGTTCCTAGGTCTTGAAATCAGGGCATGGGCATTGTCTCTGAGCTTCTTTTCCCTCAAGCCTGGCACTCTAAATCTTGAGTCATGGCTCCACTTCCAGCTTTTTAGTAGTCAACTGGAGATAAGAGTCTCACAGAAGCTGGGTGATGGTGGCTCATGCCTATAGTCGTAGCCATTCAGGAGGCTGAGACCTGAGAATCACAGTTGGAAACCAGCTTGGGCAAGAAAGTCTATGATACTCTTATCTTTAATAAACTACTCAGAAAAAGCTGGAAGTGGTGCTATGGCTTAGTTGTAGAGTGCTAGCCTTGATCACAAAGAAGTTCAGGGACAGCACTCAGGTCCCTGAGTTCAAGCCCACTGTCTGGCAAAAAGAAAAAAATCTCATGGATTTTCCTGCCCAGGTTAGCTTTGAGCTATGAGCCAAGAGCCTCAGATCTCATCTTTCTGAGTAGCTCCGATTACAGGCATGAGCCTCCAATGGCTGGCTGTTATATCCATTTTTAAATGAAGCATTTAAAAGGTAAAAATATATGGGCTGGGAAGGTGGCCCAGTAGTAGAGTGCTTGCCTTGCATGCATAAGGTTCTGAGTCTGATTCCTCAGCACCACATAAGCAGAAGAAGCCAAAAGTGGTGCTGTGGTTCAAGTGGTGGAGTGCTCACCTTGAGCTGAAGAGCTGAGGGACAGTGTCCAGGCCCAGAGTTCAGGCCCCATGACAAAAAAAAAAGGTAAAAATATAAACAAAAAATTTCTCTTGTGATGCTGCTTCTTCTGGGATAAGTAAGGTTGTAGTTTCTGTTAGCGTGTCAGGGCTGTGAATAAAGTAGTGTCCAACACATTTGCAGGCTATGGCCAGCCACACCAGTTAAAAGCCTCGGTATTTGCAGTATTTGAGTTAGCCCAAAAGCGTTCATTTGTCTTGTTGCTTCATCTGCTTGTTTTCTTGTGGCTTGGCCAGGTAGATAGACCTACACCTTTTTTGATTTGTGGAATGGGAGTGATAACAGAACAAATATTGTAGAGCTGTTTGGAGTAGTCCAATGAGCTAGCGCAATGTTATGCATCTGAAAAAGGATTCAATGACTTAGTAGTTCATGTTTATAATCCCAGATAGTTGGGGTAGGAGGCCAGCCAGGTTAAAAAAAAATGTTGAGACTTTATCTCAATGAAAAAGATGGGCCCGGTAGTGCATGTCTGTAATTTCACATAGGAATAGCTTCCTCCAGTATTAAAATGCTATACTACTTGTTTCACAGTAGATATACATTGACATAACATCATCACTCAACGTCAATAGTTCACAATAGGGTTGACTCTTGGTCTTTCATATTCTATAGTTTTAGGCAAATATAAAGTGACATACTTATGTTGTAATGGTATAATATAGAGTACTTTCGTATCTTAAAATCTAAATGAACACTAATGGCTCTCACTTATAAGACTACTCAGGAAGCTGAGATTTGAGGATGGCAGTTCAAGGCCAACCTGGTCAGGAAAGCCTTATGAGACTCTTATTTCCAATAAATTACACAAAAAGCTGAAAGTAGAGTTATGGCTCAACTGAAAGAGCACTATCCTTGAGCAAAAAAGTTCAGGAACTAGACCCAGGCCCTGAGTTCAAGCCCCAGGACTGGCACCTTCCCCCCACAAAAAAAGTCTTAAAATCTTCTGACCTTTACCTGTTTATCATTCTCTGTATACAATCCCTGGCAACCACTGCCAATATTTACTATCTCCATAGTTTTGTCTTTTATAAACTGTCATAGTTACAATACAGTATGTAGCTTTTCAGATTAATTTATTTGACAAATTTTTCAGACTACAGATCCAAGTGAGTGTTTTTGAACTTCCACAAAATAATAAACCAATAATTATTAGCTGGGCTCTAGTAGTTCACACCTGTAATCCTAGCTACTCAAGAGGTTGATATCAGAGCATCACAATTCAAAGCCAGCCCACACAGAAAAGTCCAAGAGATTCTTATATCCAATTAACCAGCAAAACAAATTGGGAGTGGATGTATGGCTCAAGTAGTAGAGCAGCAGACTTCAATGAAAAAGCTAAGTGAGAGTGTCTAGTCCTGAGTTTAAATCCCAGTTCAATCACATACAAAATAGTTTACATAAAAACATTAAAGAGCCAGATACTGGGCTCTTGCTGTAATGCTAACTACTCCAGAGGCTGAGATGTGAGGTCAAAGTTTGAAGCCATCCTGGACAGAAAAGTATGTAAGACTCTTATCTCCATTTAGCCAGCCATAAATGGAGCTGTGACTCAAGTGGTAGAATGCTAGCCTAGAGTACAAAATTCATGCACGGCTCCCAGGCCCTAATTTCAAGCCTCATGACTGACACAAATTAAAAAAAGGAAAACAAAAAACTAAAACATAAACACTGAAGAACATTTTGATGTATAATTCATTACTATCATATCCAAAGATACCTTTATTTTTTCACATCACTAGTGCTTATGCATATACATACATATTTTACCCAATTGTATTATATCGTATACTTTGACACATAATTAAATCACAAATAACCCATTTTAAGTAGATTATGTATTTTAATTTTATGATCATAGTCATTGATGGAAATACTTATTATTTCAACTTTTATGATTGGTAAATATATCTTGGCCTTTTAGGTTCCCCCCACACACACTTTTCTTGAATTTTATCCTTACAGTAATTTCCAAGGAGAGAGATAATTAGGTCGAAAGTCAGGAATATCTTCTTAGCATTGGCTGTATGTTGTCAGTTTTGCTTCTGGAAGGGATCAGGCACATTTACTATGCCACTGGTGTTGTGAGATCACACCAGCTTTGCCATGATCTCACCAAAACTGGATATTCATTTATAAATTTTAGTATTAAATAAGTCTAAAATGCTATGATTTGCTTTGAATATCTCATCTCTGATTACAAATGAGCATAAAGAGGTTTATGTTTAATTTATAACATGCTTTTTTTTAATAAATTGCATAAAACAGGACTTAGGAGGGATGAGGGGAAGGTTTTAAGAAAGTTGTGTCATTAGACTTTTGTGACAATCATCCACCAGGTTTCTCATTTCCACCACTGGAGCATTTTTTTTTTTTTTGGTCAGTCATAGGGCGTGAACTCCGGGTTTGGGTACTGTCCCTGCACTCTTTAGCTCAAGGTGAGTGCTCTACCACTTGAGCCACAGCACCACTTCCAGTTTTCTAGTGGTTCATTAGAGATGAGTCTCATGGACTTTCCTGCCCAGGCTGGCTTTGAACCATGATCCTCAGATCTCAGCCTCCTGAGTAGCTAGGATTACAGGAGTGAGCCACTGCCACCAGCACCTGGCTACCACTGGAGCTTTGAAAGTGGAAAGAATAGCTCAGGAAATTGTTTGGACAGCTACCGCTTAGAGATTTTGCCTGGGATGGGCAATAGTAAACTGTCACTGACATCCATTACTGACACATTTCTTCCTCATGCTTTATTCTAAGAACTTGGTAGGCCTAGAAACCAGGGCTATTTGGGACTCATTTGGCTAAAATAGAGCTATCATTTTCTAGGCAGATGAGGTATAAGAATCATCAATCTTCCCAAAACAATATCAACTGTACAGTCCTTGAAACCTATGATCTCATTTGTCTCTGACAGAAATCCTGCAAGAGGGAGATATTATTATTTGTACCCTAGGAAAATGTACCTATTATCATTACACATAATCAGGAATAATCAGTCATTCTAAACAATTCCTAATGGGTAGACTGGGTCATCTGTTCAACAGAGAAACTGCTGGAAAATAACTGATTTGTCCTCTTCTTCCTTCTGCCCCTTCCCCCTCCCTTTCCCCCTACCATCATGATCTTTATGAAAGCCTTCTGGCCCCAGTACTCTTGGAGGACTGGTTGTGGCCTTTTGTTGCTGGAGGAAACATTGAAGGTCATT